CCATGGCCGTGCGAGTAACGCAGAAGAGGCAGTGGGGAGGTAAGAGTTCAAGAAACAGAATAGAGGGAAGAAAAAAGGCAAAGAGGGGGCCAAACAAAAAGAAAAAAGAAAAAAGTAAAAAGTAGAAAAATTAGGGGTACAGGCGACAAAGATGGCAAGGTAAAACATAGCGAGCGTGTACAACAATCAAGATCTGCCCCCAAAAAAGTCATTGCGACAGAAGTGTTCAACAGCCACCCAGCAGCGTTCAGAGCGGAAGAATACCTGTCCAGCCCTCACTTTTCTGTGTTTCTGCCAAGGCGATAGGTGAACAACTCAGACGGTGAATACCTAGAGACCCCTATGTTTCGTAGGGTGATAGGCCCTGCCTCTACTTCTCAGTTGAAGAAATGGTTACTTTTGAGTTCGTTTATCTTTCGGCAGTTGACTTGTCCTCTTCCCATAATTACCACCAGATCCGGTCTACCGTCCCCATCGGCATAGCACCTCACCCTCAGACAGTGCTCGGCTAGAGAGCCCAAGAACGCCAAAGGGAAGCCGATATCTACGGGGGCCAGATAGAACATCGGTAACTGTAGTCGGGAGACAGTCCGCACGAGTGCCTTCTAACATGGCAGTAGGATATGGCGAGCTTTGCCGATCTCCCCGCGAAATGCACCGCGCTTGTCCATGCGGTCGAGAAGCTGGGTCAGGAACTGTCCAACACCAAACGCGAATTGCAAGACGTGACGTCGGAACTCGCCGCCGCCAAAGGGGTCGGGACTGTCCTCTCCAGTCTAGTGGATAGGTTTGGGGCGTTACTTTGCTCGTACGCGCGTGAGCAGACATCAGCGCACCGACAGCAACAGATCCTCGAGGCCATCCTCGATTCGGCACTTGCACAGTTGGACCTCCTCGACGCCCAAATGGACTGCGATTCCTTGCGCCGCGAGAATACCCAGCTCCGAGATGCGCTTCAGGAGAGAAGGATGAGGCACAACCGCGTCCCGGTCGCAGACGCTGGGCACCA